GCGTGTTTAGAAAATCGAAAACAAGATTTTTCTGAACGTTTCGCTGTGTATGCCACAGCTTCTTCGTAAAACTATGTTTATAAGTGTTAGCTAGGAAATTCCTTTGCACTCCAAACTAATTGCAGTGAATTATCATTTTACAAAATATCAAATTCAGATTATTGGTGTTTTTAACAGATTCGATTTTCATAGTTGTTCATCAGTCAGATTCCGAAACCGATAATGACCACTTTATTGTACAACGGTGAAGTAAAAAATCGGTTTTAATTATTTCTCAAATGCATTGAAATATCATTCTGAATAATAGATCAATCTCGTGTTGTACCGAAAATGGAAAGTGACTCTATTTACCAAGCTCAGTTCAGGTAGAGTAATTGCTCGGATAAACAACGTCTTCTTCACTGCTTAAATGCTTTAAAAGCATCATGTAATTATTAGGTTTGATTACTGATTCAAAGTGATTTGTAAAGTTTAACGATCTCCATAGTTTATTTAAAACAAGAATAATTTGAGTGAACAATTGTTTCCAATAAGTTCTTCTTCATGCTCTACGGTTATAACTTCATGAGAAAAAGTGAAATACATTAGACATGTCTAACTTATACCACACAGTCGCTAAGTGGCTAGTAAAGATTTTAGATCCCTTACGCAAAAAATCAGTTAACTAGAGTGTAAAAAACGTCTTTGAAATTATTTCTAAGCCAGATAATGTGAATGTAAACGGAAAACATATGATGTGGCCTGATATTTCATCACAATTCACTAATGTTCCATTACTGGAGGACGGCAGAGTTTATGGGTCAACAAATATCGGAAAGGCGAATCAGTATCTGAATTCCAGTACATATCCTCAAGGAGTTGCTTTTTGAATGTACTATGAATGTACATTTTGTCTTCAGTAGCTCTCATTATAAACAGACTGATGGGATAGCTATGGGTTCATGACTTGGCCCTATTTTGGCTGATATATTTCTTGTCAAACTGGAGAATGGAGGTTTAAAGAGGTCATTAAGGAGATAACTATGTGTCACCGTTATATTGACGATATATTCATTATCCTGGATCACAATGTAGATACAAGCGAGATGTTAAGAAAATTTAATGAGGTGCACATTTCACTCACTTTCACTTGTGAGGAAGAAAATGCGAGTAAACTACACTTCTTGGATGGCTTGCTAAGCAGAAGAGAAGATAGTTCACTCAGCAAATGTGTTTACGGGAAGACTACATCTATAAGTCAGTACACATATTTTCTTAGTCATGTACCCATTCGGTACAAAGCAAACCTAGTTATATGTCTCACTAACAGAAGGGGAAGAATATGTTCGGATGACCTAGTACAGAAGGGGTTAGATTTTATTCGTAATCCATTGGTTAAAATGGGCTACCCTAACATTTTCATAAGAAGACTTATGGACAAAGCCAGGAGAGACAAACCCGGAATTATTGCCGTACAAAAGAAATCATTGTTTATGAAATTGCAATTTAATAGGAATGTAGCTGGAAAAGTTTTTTTTTATCAGAGACTCTCTAGAACCATTAAGAGGACTTGCTACACCACACAAGTTTGTCTATCATTTTCCAGTCGACCAATCGTTGTTGCTCAGACAAAAAGATAAGGTATCTAGTTTTACAATTTTTATGTGTATTTGCAAGTTTAGCTGCTCTTGTGGAGAAAGCTGTATGCGGCGTACTACTAGACAACTTAACAAATGTGTTGCTGAGCATCTACCTTCATTGTTTGGAAAGGGAGAGATAAAATCCATCAGAAGTTCAGTTTTCTGTCACCTCGTTGATAGTGGTCACTTGGTAGGTAAGACCAATGCTTTCACAATTATTTACCTCATGCCACTTCATCTTTTGAAAGGTATTTGAACTCATCTTTTACACATATCTGTCTGAATTCAAGCTAATAATCTTAGTCTTTGTATCCAGGATAGGTTTTTATATCCCTTATCTCTTCCTTGACCAAGGTTAACTTAGTTGATAACTTTATCACTGAGTGTTTTTCCTACCCCTTTCATATACTTAATGTCTATGTTTAGACTTCGTTTATCCACTGATCAGATAGTTCGAAATGTGTTGCGCAAATACATGACACGGTCCAGACAATTTACGTCTTCTTATTGTTTTGCTGAAGTTTATAAAGGGAACTAATTGTTTTAAATTATCCACTTACCTTGTCCATCAGTATTACGTAACGTTTATTTTCCCAAGCTTTTGACCCACTTTTATCACCGGAGTGTCTACATTTTCACGCTGCTTTTTTGGTTCTTATCATAATTATCATCTATATTGCGAGTGCCTTAGTCAACGTTATCACTTTTATCATTATTATGAGAAGTCTTGACTAGGAAGCCAGTTTGAATACGGTCAAGAGGTAGTAACGCGTCGCGAATTCACATGGTAGTCGGGCAAAACCCTTGGTGATTGAGGTGAAATAAAAATCTGGTTGGCAGTCGGACTTCGTAGCTCAGTTGGTAGAGCGTCGAGTCAGAAACCCAGTGGTCACTTGTTCGAACCCAGCAACGGTCCAAATTTTCATTTCACCTTCAGTCATCACCAGGTGTAAAATTATCATTTGTGTTATTATCACCATTGTTATTTTGAAACACTGTCATTGCATTGAAATAGTCACTGTTATGGGTGAATGGAAGTCATATCGAATGGAATGGTGGAATTGTTATCGGTTTAGTGTGTTAGTTGTGCAGTGAAATCAATATTGGCAGAACAATTACGAAATGAGGAGACAGAATCTTAATGAACTTTCCTACAATAAATTGCACATTTTAACCTCCCATCCCTTTTTTATCTATTGTCATTATTAATGAATAAACATTCATTTTCTCATGTCATTAGTTTTACTCCCTTCTTTATTCATACCACAACTATGGTAGTCATTTTCAACTGTGACGTAACACTTCACATTTGTTATTCTCTATTTCGTTCGTATTCGTACGGTTTTCATCCCACCTGAATATAAGTCATCACAACATAATTACTATTTGACCCTTAGTAAACAAACATACACATATTCATGCCCCAATAAGTGTATATAAATGAATCAATATCTGTAGATTTTGTCTCATGATTTCGCAATTGTTCTGTCAATATTGATTTCATTGCATAACTAACACACTAGACTGACAACAATTCCACCATTTCGTTTGATATGATCTCCATTCACCCATAACAGTGAGATCGAACAATTCAATCTAATGAAACAACGGAGAATTACAAGCACATCAATAAATAGGCATAACAGTGATTGTTTCAACATAGTAAAAATTGTACGTCATGCCTTAATTTGTGTAGGTTAAAAATACAAAACTGAAATGAAAGTAACTAACTGTTAATGTACTTAGGAAGGAAATATGGACGTAACGTGCTTGTTGGTAACACACCGAATGACGAATGCAACAATTTCGATAGTCATTCATCATGCGAAATATTGAAGACGACTACAACTTAACGAAAAAAGTGATGAAGCTGATGAAGTTATATCAAATCCCTGTTTTGAAGCCTCATATCCTGAGAAGTAACGGTGAAGAACTTCACAATATAAACCATCACAACGAGTAGAACTAAATAAATATCAGTCTATTGAGTTATTTAGATATGATTGGAACTATGGCTTACATCTTGAATGTCTTTATGATTTAGGCCTATTTAATGTTGGCTTTAGTTATTGTTTTCGTTCTAGCTAAGATGATTCTTGATATATGCAAGCACTTTTTTTATGTCGAAGGGTGTTGATAACCTTTCTTGAACAATCAACAAACTTACTTTCTGATTATTTGATATTTCTATCTTTAAAAATGTACAATTGCACTTCATTGCAAATGATACAACGATATCTTGTAAAAACTATGCATGCGATACGCTGCTTTTTCTGTATACTGGTATGGAGTTTTCCTAAGCAAACCAGATAGTAGTGAGAATCACACAATTTCCAGTGATATTAATAGTGATAATAATTTTTTTTCTATTCTATTCATTGGTACCTTTTATTGTATGAATTTGTTTAATAAATTATTTATTATTCATAATCTTGTAAAACTGTATCCATATTCAGATGTATTTTTTAATCAGTTACGTGCCATATGATGTGTACGTGTAGCTAACTATACAGGAAGGCATATTATGGATGGGGAATGTACTTTATCACGCACCATATATATATATATATATATATATATATATATATATATATATATATATATATATATATATATATATATATATATATATATATAATATTTATAAATCTCTTTGACAGGATCACACAAGATTAAGTTGAAATGTGGGGATTGTTTTGTAACCGGATTATCTTGAGGTGTACAGAGATTTCATCTAGATTACACTATGTAGGATTTTGGAAATAGTTTATTTCTCAAATGAATAGCCACTAACAAAGTCACTAGAATTCTATTCACATCGTTTTAATTGGTTTTCAGATAGTATATCAGGAAAATGCAGCTGAAAAAGGAAAAGTTGGTAAAATCAATATTTGGAAGATAATTGAGAATCACTTGTCTTAGGAATGTTAACAGTCTCATTGTATTAAAACACCCATAAAAAACATTTTTACTTGTAGTGTTGTATTAAGTTAATAAAGTAGAGTCTACCAATATTTTAACATGCAGTGTATCTTACAGAAACACTGACTATGAAAAGCAAAAGTTGAAAAGAGTTTAGAAAACATAAATTGTCAAAGAAATGTTACTAAATTGAAGTATTATAAGTCCAGTTTTCCATGTGTTTTTGTTGTTGATTAAAAAGTGCTTTGGGTACTCGCACATCGATTCACCCATCTATTTTATCAAGATGATTTGTAGTGGTTAGATGGAAGTACAAGATAATTGTAGTTGGGATCTATGTTATATGGTTTTAATTGGTGCTTTTGTAGTGATCTCAAATCATTGACTTTTTAACTGATTAAGAAAGAATTGTATTATTTATATATTGAACCTTTAAAACAATTCTTCTTTTACTTACAGCCATAATACTGAAAAGGTCATTTATTTTCTTTTGTTGGATCGTAAGCTGAGGAATCCAAGTTCCGATGATCCCGATGAAATTCGATCCAGAAGTAGCACCCGTAAGTTGACCATAATAAAAGTACTAAGGAAGCATAAATGTTACGTATGCACATTTCTATGCATATATGCATATATATATATATATATATATATATATATATATATATATATATATATATATATATAAATTTGTCATTCTCATCTCATAGCCATTCAATTTTATGGTTTGCTTTTAGTGATTTAAATGAATAGGATTATGTCTTAGTCAATTGATTTCATTTAATTTAGTTGTGGTACTAAATTTGCCACTATTGTTCTAAGTCTTCTCCTTTCTATTTTATACTATTTGCTTGTGTGTTTCGTTTTTTAAACTGATGTTCTTACAGTCACAGAGTTGAACAAGTTTGAAGATGGACAACAATATCTGGATGTTTATTTTGGTACATATGAAACAATATCGTCAAATGTACAGAGAAACATGACTATTTAGTTAACTTTTTTGGTTTTTAAGCAGTAAATAGCCTTATTATCAATAAACCTCTATTAATACATTGACATGATCATAGGAACTGTCATCAGAGGTTCACCATCTTTGATAAAGATGACATTGGTACTTGATACCTTATTAAAAATTTTTTAAAATACTTATCCTTATTAACATTTTCCGCACCTTTCCGAAAAACGAATGGGAATGTTAAAGCTTATCCTCAATAAGATAATACTGATACAAGTATCCTTTTTTGGAAATGTAATGCATCAGAAACGTTAAAGGGATACAACAGTTATATGAATATTTGTTAAGGTATTACAATGTTCTTTCAAGTTATCTAGACGTTTTTGAGAAGTAGTAGTAGTAGCAGTAGTTCACAGCCAAGTAATATTAAACGTAAACATGAGAATTTCAATAACCTTACAAGACGAGAAAACTTGAACTGAGTAGACCACTTGACAGCTAGGAGATGAAAAGTTTCAGTTAGTCAATAGGTAGTTGTGTATCAAAGCTATGACGTTTTTAATAACAAACTTCTTCAAACTCATGACACGGAAAAAGTAATTTAGATACAGAATTCATCATCTAAATCAAATTTTGATTAAATGTTTCTCAGAAATTTAGGCTCTGGATAAGCTGTGTTGCATCATGATTATCATCAGAATCAACATGGAACCAGGCATTACTGCATTACATTCCAAGTTGTCACACCCAATACAAGCACATCAGGCGAGAAAGCAGTAAAGTGGAAGATAAAGAAATAGATAAGAAAGCAATCAAGAGTGCTAGAAAGTCATGATAAGATAACGAAGAAGAATAAGAACATATGCCATTAAGTTAGACGAATGAGATGAGGATAATGTGCAGATATATCTGCACCGGTGATATCGATTCTGAACCAGGTCACATGGGGTCTGCAGCAACTGGTTTCTGTTTTCACGAGGACCCCAATTGGGAAGTCTACGTTTCCCTACATGGCACAGACCAACAGTCAAAGGCTTCATGAAATGATGCCATATTTTAGTCTATTCGTCTCTTGCCTTTTTACAGCCTGAATCTACTTCAGCTAGCATTGTACGATGAGGTAGACGATGACCTGGTATGTGTAACATGTTCCAGCTATCTGTCCTGATGAAGGTTGCTAACCTTATTAATTGACTTTCTTCTTCCCCCCTAATACTTTATCTACTTCGGACTTCTGCATTACTGACCTGGTGACACCACTACATACTGCGCAAATTTAGCTATGAGTGTACTGTTTATAGGGGATGATTTAAACAATCAAAATCACATTGTTTCCTCTACTGAAATTGCTATATAACTTGAATAATTTCTTGTGAATGATCATGAACCAAAACTAATAATATTAAGGCTGATACCGAGAATAACTCGGTCAAATTTCTACTTTGTCGCTATTAATTAATCATGGTAACATGATAATGTATATAATAAGTGTATTAAGTGTACTTGATGTGCCTATAAATGAAGCATATATGGAGATAATAAATTGAGTCATTCAACTTTCTGTTTATTCGAAGTAAAACCTTTCCTTATTCTATGATTCTAGTTTATACAAACATAGTTTGGTATGAAATGTCAGACGTAATTTGTGAACAATTCTTAAATAATTTTGTAATTTTTGCCTGACATTATAAAATTTAGAACTGGAACATTTTTTAGCCCTTTAAGGTTTTAGCCAGTAGTTTAGTACAGAAAAAAAAGAGGAACATGAATATCTGTTTCCCATAAATTCGCTTTCATAGTTAACTTTCTTTGCATAAGTTATGTTCAGGAGTGTTCACTAGATTTTCTAAAAACCCTTAGATCGTGTATTTACATGAATATAATTTTTTGGGTGAACGTAAGGTGTACTCGGTCTGCTCTCCCAAACATTCTCTTACGATACCTTGAATAAAGTTTTGATATATTCTGAAAATAATAGTGTAAAACAATCTGATGCGATTTAGTGACAAATCTAGCAGCTGACAAAAACAACACACTATCAGTAAAGTGTTGTCTGTGACACAAGCGTACACATGCCATTCCTATTTTTCATAATTATCGTATGCGCTTTTTCCTCACTTTATCACTGTAGTGCTTGTAGCTAGCAGAAACTGAATCGGGTTATTTAGCTTCATGAGCGGTAATGCTAGCAAGTTAAATCAAGCCTTATGTTCATCAAGTGATGTATAATGATTACCAAGTGGTCAATACCGAGGTGATCTTGTTCCGCTATCTTATCAGTCTTTCAGCAACATTAATCTATCAGCTTGTTTTCTTAACACAGCGTTTTGCTGGTTGACTTCAACTTTTATGAAGTCTGTGAATAATATATATTCAACTGAACTTTTACTCCAGATTAAGATCCTAAACATTCTAGCAAATCCCATTTTTTAATTTTAGATGCTTACTGCTAACAGTAAAATGTACTTAATGAATGTGTCAGTATAATCCTTTTTATGATAGATTCAGTGTTCGGTTTGCGGAATTCAGGGACGATTTTCATCGAAATTTGCTCATCAGTTAATTTGGTTGATAGTTGGACAGCAAGACTTTAGGTTCCTAAACAAAGGAAAAATCAAATTTTTACACGAAGACAAAATGAGGTTTTGCTTACCAACCCTGGGTTTGATCGCCTGTGGGCTCATGTGAGCGCGCTACTGAGGACTCCATATTAGATGTAGGCCACTCTATATCGCGAACTGATTATTATTTATCCCTTGGGTTCCGAGTGAAAAATAGGGCTTCAGTAGCACGTCGCCATTTCACTCTGTTCTCTGCAGTTTTTTTAACCTGACTCTACGACTGCCCAGAAGCTTTCATTTCTTCTTCACACGATCTCCTCTATGTCATCCTCTCCTCGGACGCCCAACTAGTCATTCCCCATTTGGGTTCCACTCGAGGGCCTGGAACGTGGTATCCCCAAACAGTTTTCTCAGTGTATGCTTCGTGAACTGATGGAAGTAGAAAATATAGATCATTGGATTCCGACTCAGTGACTGGATGGTTAACGCGTTCGTCGTGAAATCTAAAGGTCTAGAGTTCGATCCCTAGATGGGTGGTAGATGCGTACCGCTGAGGAGTCCCTCACTAGGACGAAACAGCTGTCCAGTGCTCCCGGGTTTTCAATGGTTCCTCAACCGATGTCAGTCCATGACAATTAACAACCTAAAATCAATAAATCCCCACAAGCCTTCAAATCAATTAGAATAAAAATCGACCACAACCAATAATGTTTTATTCAAGTCTAGTCATTCATGGGGATATTTTCCTGAAAGTTACTCAGAAATAACTTATAGAAAAGACTAAGAATCCCGATTTCTTGGTCATAACAAACTTGTTCCAAGCAGTCGTTTAATAGGTTTGTTTATTAGCCATCAATATTTATTCACGTGCTGGTGAATTTTGGTATTGACTTAACCGTTTTTTTCTTACATTCTTACATTTTGCGTTAAAAAAACTATGGGATTATATATATATATGTTATATATATATATATATATATATATATATATATATATATATATATATATATATATAGGTGTGAGAATTAACTAAATAAAGGAAAAATGAGGACATGGCTTTTACTTCCTAACTGTTGTCACTGCAAAAAGAGTGAAAAATTGCTATTATAGACAAATCAGGGTCAACTGGATAAACTACTGTTTTTTCGACCTTATAGGTTTTTTGTCAGTGTTGTTACCCACCTTAACAATTCATTTTGAACAGTTAATCCAATTTATCATCTTGACCCTTCAAGCATCACCTTAAGTCATGATATAATTTATCATGTTTTCACCCATTGTAACCTGTATTTACTTAACCTGAAATCCTTTAAATATGTATGTTTGTTTTCTCCTATTTATGAGTTAATTCATTTAAAGTTCTGTTTACTGAATGTGCCAAATGCTCATTCATTTGTAATCTTGTTCACTGAAGTACCCTTTTACTGTTCAAAAACTGCCTTAACTTATTGACAGTGAACTATGTTCGCTTATCAAAATTTAGTTGTTTAATAACGATTTCACCATCTTTTGAACTGTATCTCACTCAAGTTGTATAAAGTACCGGTTAAATTTACATGTGATCGTAAGTAGCAAAGACAGTTGAAAACCTGGGATTGCCAGTTAATATAAGTCATTTCTCACTATATATATCCGTAAGATTTGTAGATGGTTAAGTGCATACCTCCAAAGGCAACAGCATACACAGTTCTAATTTGAAGGTAAGGCATAATAGTCGGTTATCAGTTATTTGTTTCCTCGTCTATTTATCTTTCGTAATCCTCACTGTCAACTTTAATTGCTAACAAGCTGCTCAACATAAAGTACAACGTATTTCACTAAAATCTCTGTCATACTGTCAGATTGTTATGTTTGTATTAGTGGGGCTATCTGAAGTAGCTGTGATTTAGTAGACCGGTATTATAAATGCCAGGTTATGATCGAAGGAGAAACCAAAACTTGGTTTGTAATAGAATTCGAAGTTTTTTTCCAGTTTAAAACAATAGGACTAACCATTCTTCAGTTCAAAAGCACCAACTTCTCGAGATGCTGCAAATAACTAAGT